CCATGAACACTGAAGGAATCCTAACCGGGAGAAGCTGACTGCAATGACGCCAATGGTGGTGAAGACAACAACTCCCATGATCCCACGCTGCTTCATCATGTCAACACCTACAGCACAGTTCGAGAACCAGAGTTTAGAGTTTACAGACCTTTTAATGTGGAAATGATAAATATTACAGCTTTAAGACTCATGAAGGTCTCAGGATCAACTTGGATGTTTCAGCACATTTGATCTTAATCAAAGGGTTTAAAGATTATAAGTAACAGGTTTATCTGTTCCTATATATCACAGATAAAAACTGTGTTCACACTTTGAGATGCTATTTCATGAACTCCTGACAGGAAGAAGATTCAACCACCAGCAACAACTCAAAGACAACAGAAAATAACAGCATGCTGCCCCCTGCTGGAGCTCTGGTGACACAGCGCTGACGCTCCAGGCAGAACAACATCAGACTCACTGAGAAATATTCAAAGTTTGGAGTTCAGTGTTGCTCAAATTTGCTCATAAACTCCACCGACCTTCATCAGTCACAATATCTTTCGGTTGCAGTTTGACGTCAAATTAATTTCAGAGAAAATCAAGAAAGAGCTTCAAAAGGCTTTATTTAAATATCTACATAAAACAGGTTTAATTTACAGAATATAATTCCATTATAACGTCATGATGTGGCACCTTTAATGTTAGTGTTAATAAGCAAGTAAACAGTAAGTGCTATTCCCAAACACTGAAGTAAACTGTCCAAATACAGTTTACATTAGTGAAAAATCCAACAATAACAGCACTCTGCAAAATGTAAGCCTGAATATTTGTATTATAGCAGAGTTCACCTGTATTTATGGATCATTTCATTGTTTTTTACAGTGTAAATATCTTAAATTAAAACATTTTAATTGAAGCTATAAACTGTATTGTAATATATAATATCTTAATATATTTAAATTTTAATGACAGTCTTCGGTACGTTAGGTGGCGCCATCCACCTCCAAAGTAAATGATTACATCCTTCAAAAGGCTTTATTTAAATATCTACATGAAACAGGTTTAATTTACAGGATTTAATTCCACTATAAAGTCATGATGTGGCACCTTTATTGTTAATGTTAATAAGCAAGTAAACAGTAAGTGCTATTCCCAAACACTGAAGTAAACTGTCCAAATACCCCAGGGGGTTTTTTTTTTTAATCAGGTGTAAAGCAGCAATAAATGACTGTAATTTCACAGATAATGACTTTTTATTACAGTCTATAACTTCTGATTATGCCCTGTAACAAACTGTACCACCTGACGCAGTGCACCCTAGCATGTATTGTGACCACCTACTTATGCACCTTAGGACACTCACCCAATGCTCATTATTTTGCTATTGATTGTATTTTGTTTTATTTGTTCTTTTGCATCTTACCTCCTGTTGTTGTTGTTATTATTGTTATTGTATTATTATTATCAGTCTGTGGATACTGCTGGAAACTGAATTTCCCCTTGGGGATGAATAAAGTATCTAATCTATCTAATCTAATAATAGCAGCACTCTGCTGTAAATGTAAAGCTGGTTATTTGTATTATAGCAGAGTTCACCTGTATTTATAGATTTTTTACAGTGTAAATATGTTAAATTAAACATTTTAATCAAAGATAAAAACTGTATAGTAATATATAATATCATATTTTAATATAGTTAACAGTCTCCGGTACCGTAGGTGGCGCTATCCTCCTCCAGAGTAAACGATTACATCCTGAAGACTTCTCTTCTGGTTTAACGGGAGTTAACCGGCAGTTCGCACCGGAGGAGTAAAAACGGGGTTTTAACGCAGTGTGTGTGCAGGAAGTAGGAAAATAAAATGTCTAAAGTTCAAATACTGAGAGCTTTTGTGCAGCAGAGACTGACGGCGGCCGTTGAGGACATATTTGAGCAGTTTGAGAGGACGATAGCAGAGTATGAGGAAGTGTGTCGACAACACAAAGTCCTGGAGGCTGCGTTAAACCCGACAGTGAGATTACACAGAGCAGGTTGAGCTTTATGTTCCTATAGTCTACAACTTATCCTTCTCATTCACTCAGTAACACCATTAACTAACCTGTGAGGAAGAGTTGGACACAGACACACTCACTGACTGTCTCTAGGTTAATGGTTAATGGTTAATGATTAATGAAGATAAAGTGACTGATGCTCTCATCTATGGGAATGACTGCACCTGCTGTCTGACTCAGCAGCTTTTATTTATATTAATTACAATATTTGATGGAATATATTCTGTATCTTAGAAACTACACAGAGCATTAATAACTATTTAATCTATGAGTTTATAAGTTAAATGTTAAATATGTGCACATATGCAGTGTAGAAAACTATTTCACAAACACAATTTTAGCATTTTCCCTCATTTAAAAAAAGATTCTGACTCTAACTATTGATAAAAGTGAGATTATTCATGTAATCTATAGATGTTAAAGTTGTACTGTTATACACACACACACACACACACATATAATGGTTATTGCTCATTTTATGTGTTTTAATCTAAGAACCATCTTAATTTATTTGTGCTTTCAGGAATTTATCAGAACTTTTATCAACATGTGAAAATAGGACAGAGTTCTTATTCTGGCTGATTTTAACATCCATGTTTGTGGCACTTCTTCCTCATTTACTTCTGATTTTATTTAAAGGTCCAGTGTAACAATCTAATAAAAAGTGGCTCGGCTGAAACTCTTCTCAGCAACTAAAGATTAAGTTGACTATTATGCGACAACCAAATAAATGAGTTTATTAAAACTTGTGTTTGTGTTTCCTTATTCTCCACAGACGTCCAGCTGCTGTCGGTGAGTAAAGAAGAGGTTCCTCCTGAGCAGCAGCAGCAGCAGCAGGAGTGGAGCCCCAGTCTGGACCAGGAGGACCCAGAGCCCCCACACATTAAAGAAAGGAACAAAGAGCAATTCGACCGCTAGGAGGGAGGAGCAGCTTCAAGGTTCACAAAGCAATCAAGGGCCTTCTTCAGTCGATTCTGATGCGTGTATTTGTGCCAGTTCTTCCTGTGTTGCGTCAGTTTTATTTTCACGTCGGTCAGCTTTAGAGACTCATAACAAAAGGTGTTTGAAACTTGGTGAGATGCCCCATGGATTCATTATGAAACTGTACCTCTCGCCTCGTATGAGAGAGAGGAAATCACTTGTCGTTTATTGTTAACTAACCTTCACCCCTTGAAGCCAGAAGAACGCTGGTATAGAAGAACATTTCACCCACCGTCTATTTAATGTGCACTTCATGTTTGGTGCAATTAAAATGTTCTTGTTTGTTGTTTTGGTGCGAGATGAAGAGGTGAAAACCAGAGAGGACTCTGAGCTAGCGAATGATGACATTTGTGTCTGCTTGTGAATGGTGAGCTCAATCTGTCGTCTTATTGATTATCTGTCACTGACTTGGATTTGTATGAATATTATTGTTTATATGTATTTACAGTCTTCAGAACACACAGCTGTAAATAAGACAAATACCATTAAACCAACAAATCTCCAGTGCACAAGAGGACACATAGTTCAATATTTCAGTGAGGGAAACCCGGTTCGGTTCCGCGTCTGTTCAGGAGTGGACCTCGGAACCCCTCTGATGAGTTTGTTGAAGTGAATGAAAACAAACAGCCAACAGATTGAATTAATGTATGAAGATTTGTTTAAATCTGTCAGAACGAACCAGCGGACAGCCTGCTTCGTGTTGGAATTCATCTCCCCCCCCCCCCCCCTCCGGTGTGTGTGTGGTGTGTTGTGTGTGTGCATATTATTAGCATGTCTTATCTCTCTCGGCTGGACGGCGGAGGCTAAAATGCCACCCCGTCTCTGATCCCCTACGATAAAGCCGTCTGTCTGATGCGCCTCAAACTAAAAGGTTCTCTGGATCAGACGCTGTGCTCTGATTGGATTGAATCACAGATGAACAAGAAGTTCGAACAGCAGTTTTGTTTCAGTGGTAGGGAATCGAACTGTTCAACTGCCGCCCCTCAGTGGTTAATAAAGCTTGATTGATGGCGGGCGGCGTGCCGCTGTCAGATCTGTTTTAGGAGACTTAGAACTGCCTGTGTGCAGAGGCGCCAGGCCTCGCCTCAGGGCTGATCAGCCTCTGCGCAGGGGCCTAATCAGGGAGGACTGATCGATCGCAGATGTTGATCGCTGTATTTTTATGAATCAGTGTCGTTACAGGAACTTTGTGCAGAAAGTTCTCGTACAGTTTCACCTTTTCTTTTCTCTCAG